GTGGGAGGTTGGGGTCATTTGGGTCGTGTTTTGCCAAGTACCTGTGGGAGGTGGTAGGGGTGGAGTCGGAGCCCCGGTGCCGCAACTGCACCAGCGGCGACCCTGACACGGCCTATCACACCATGGCCGTGTGTGAGGCGTGGGACGAACAAAGGACGGCCCTCACGAGCACCGTTGGTGCCGACCTGTCGCTGTCGGCCGTAATTCCAGCTATGGCCGACAGCGAACAGTGTTGGGCTGCCGTCGCCTCGTTCGCTAGCGAGGTGATGGCGGCCAAGAGAGAGGCTCTGCGGGAGCGGGAGCGAGCTGGTCTCACACTCCCGCCCCGCAGACCCCCGGCTAGGGGACGCCGGCGAGCACGATTCGCCCGCGTCCCCGAATGAGAGTGGCCACGGGCGGTGGGTCGGGGGACCTGCCGCCCATACTAATGTGGCGGAATGCGCCCCTCTGTGTTCCTGGGGTGCATTCATGTGGAGGACAGGCCCCACCATCCGGGCACGGTATTTGCCCGGATGGTGGGGCCTCGAGAGGCGAGCCCGTTCAACAGGGCGTCCCTAGCCGAGTCGCGGTGAGCAAACTAGCCCGTGGCTCGGATTAGGCGAAGGAGGAACACCGTGGTGGTTTAGTGGGTAGTCTGGCCCGTCAGGAGTCCCACACGAAGCGAACCCCCTGCCCCCGCGGGGGGGGAGCGAAGTGTGTAAATGCATTCCACCACGTAAAAAAAAAAAAAAAAAAAAAAAAACCTAACCTAACCTAACCAGTCGCGTTTTAACCGCCTTCCGGAACGCCACGAAATTATATCGCTCCGCATTCGAAAAATCTAAAAAGTGGGTTTTTTCACTCCGATCCTTATGTACTATACATCGTTAGATGCGTAATTGTTAGCCGCGTGTGTTCGTGAAAAAATCATTTGTGAAAAGTGCTGTTTTTCTGAGAAAACCTGGAAAAACCTTAAAAGTGCTTCAAGTTGAAACTTTGAATACGAACGCTGCCGAAACGAGATCGGCGACACATGGTTTTTCGACTGCAGTTCGGAGCCCCTTTTTGAGCTCTATAAGAGGAGACCTCAAGCGAATTTTTCCTGCCACAAACGCCGGAGATAATTAGTAAAAACCGAAAACCACGTGGCCACGTGGTACCCCTTGGGGGGCCGTGCGACTATCAATTATATCTGTATCCTGTTTGCGCTGCTGCCCCGAATTACCAGACACATCGAACAGCCACGTGAGTCAACCCTATGCGAAGTTATAGACATTTTAAAAATTTCCGATTTTCAAAAAAAAAAAATATTTAAAAAAATAGAGCGATAAGAGTTTAATTAAAAATCATATTTAAGTTACTTATACTAGTTTCTATCTGGGAAAAAAGTTTGACAATTTTCGGCCTCGTAATCTAGGAATTATAGACTTTTCAAAATTAGGGGTAGACACGTGCTACCCTTATTTCAACCCCCTTGTAGGTGAATAGTATGTTATATTTTGAACTTTAATTGTGTAAAGCCCGGAGATTTTTTTCAGAATTTTTTCTCAGGTTGTGTTCTTTATTTCTTAAATTTAAGTCTAGTTTTTATAAATTTTAGCATTCTAAAAATTTAGGGTGCTTTATTAGGGGTGGCTTTATTGCGCATCGTGTTTGTTATTAAGTTTCCAGTGCAACGAGCCCAAACTCGGGTGTCCTAAGCCACATATAGCCGAAATAACAAAAATTACTAGAACAAACGGCCATATTGAGCGCCATTTTGAAATATTGTTAATATTCATAACTCTTGACTCCGACATCCTACGAAACTGTGGTTTTCACGGTTGATCTTGATTTGGCAATCTCTAACTGAGTAAGTAGTAAGCAGCTCTAGGTAGAGAAAAAATTCCGACTCTACTACACGTGCAAAATTAAGTAGTATACGCTAAGCTGATTCAGGGGACACCACACTCGACTCTTTTGCGTTAGAAATTGCTGAAAAACTAGCACTCAAACATTTTGAGCGCCACTTTAGACGCCATATTGTTTTTACAATATTAACTGTAACTACTGCATTTTTGACGCTAGAGAGTTGGGAAAAATTTCGCAGGAAGGGGCATCACCTGCACTATACACTACTGACAAATAAGCTCTATATAGAGCTCTAGTTTTAACTTTTTACTTGTTTTCTGTGTATTTTTGTCTTTATTATTTTATGTTATCTTGTTTTTGTGTGTGACCATTTACTGCCTCTTTGGCACTTAAAAATAGACAAGACTCTACGTAGAGTCACCGTACAAAACTTTATTTTGTTGCTATTGCACAAATTTTGAAACAGAGATAAGAAAGAAAGATTAGAATAAGTATATTTTTATAACTTTTACAAACCTTGTTATTAATCACCTATTAAAATCGTAACAATTGTTGACTGGTTTCCCACGTTACTCCCAAATGGCTACTATCCACACCCCGGCCAAGAAGCCTGCAAGTGAAGAAAGAGACAGGAGCTCTATAGGCTCCACGAATGAGACAGAGAAGGCAAGACCTTCTCTTAAGAGAAGCCCGACGCCTACGACAAGTGTGAGAAGGAGTGTAGGAGAGTGGGAGACGGGGAGAGTTGAACCAAAAACTGTGTCGGAGACTTCTCCAAAAATTAATCAGAAGACACGGCCGGTACCAAAATCAAAAACAATCGTTCCCCTGGAAGGGATGGAACTGCAAAAGGTACCAGCAGGGACTCTCCGGTGTCCCCAAAAAGGCCTCTCTACAATACCGGAATCGAGTTGCCGAGGCCAGAGCATGCTTAAACAAAGCAAAACTCCATCTCGGCAATTCCAAGAATTTAAAGACAGAGATCAAAAATGAAGTTGTTCAAGCAATCGACCGACTATACCAGCTGGTAAAAGAGGCAGAACTAGAGAAAGAAAAGACTTCTGGAAAGATAGCAGGTACAGTAAGACAGGAAATAGAAGAAACTCAAGCGAAAGGAGGAGAAATCAAGGCATTCTACTATGAAGAAGGGAAAGACTCTGAAGACACCTTCCTAAAGAAGCTAGACGAACACGCTAAACTATTAGAAGAAAACAAAAAAGAGATGGAAAGCTTGAAAGCGATTTTATGTCAGCAAGAGTGCCGAGAGAGAACGACATATGCATCCGTGACGGCAAGCACTGTCAGAAAAACACCTCCTGAGACTACGGCTATCCATTCGGTAGCAGTCACTTCAAAACTTGAGACTGAAACTGGCGAAGAGGTAATGAAGAAGATCAGACTGGCAGTAAATGCAACAGAAGAAGGTATAAGAGTGGATAAAATCAGGAAGGCCAGGGACCGGAAGGTTATAGTAGGATGTAGAACGTATCAAGAAATGGCAAGGGTGAAAGAAAGAATCGAGAAGGCCGGGACAGAGTTATGCGTGGAAGAAATAAAAAATAAGGACCCGATGATAATGCTAAGGAATGTACTAAAATATAATACTGACGATGAAATCCTTAAAGCCTTGAAGAACCAAAACAACCACCTATTCGTCGGGTTGAGCGCAGAGGAAGAGAGGATGGACGTGAAGTTCAGGAGAAACTGCAGGAACCCACTGATGGCACATGTGGTGGTTAAGGTTGCACCAGTAATATGGAACCGACTTATGGAGGCCGGTACGGTGCATTTGGACCTGCAGAGAGTTCGCGTGACTGACCAGTCCCCTCTCGTTCAGTGCTCACGTTGTTTGGGGTATGGACATGGTAGGCGATTCTGCCGAGAAACGATAGATAGCTGTAGCCACTGCGGAGGACCCCATATGAAGACAAAATGCGCTGAATGGCTAGCAGGAACAGCACCAACCTGTTGTAACTGTTCCAGAGCCAAAATTGAACGAAGCGACCATAATGCTTTCAGTGACAGCTGTCTAGTAAGAAGAAAGTGGGAGGCCCTGGCCAGATCCACTGTGGCATATTGCTAAAGTGGCCCCACATGTAATAACCAGCCAAGACACGGGGGCACCATATAGGGCGGCCCAGGCAAACCTCCAGAGAAGCGAACTTGCAACAGCAGAGCTTCTGACCGAAGCGGTCCAAAGAGGTATCACGTTTGCACTGGTCCAAGAGCCCTACACCGGGCGGACGGGAAGGGTGAAATGTCATCCGGGAACCAGAGTGGTACAGGGAAATGGCAAAAGCGATGCGGTCAATAAATCTGCCATTGTGGTCTTTGACGACAACATTAACATCACCCAATGCCCTACGCTAACAACACAAAATATTGCTGTGGTCAAGCTGAGAACCGAAGCGTGGGATATAGGAGTGGTATCGGTATATCTGGAAGGAGACAAACCACTCGAACCATACGTCCGGTGGATAAGGAAGATAGTTAGGGAATTAGGGACAAGAAAAATTTTGCTTGGGGGGGACATTAACGCCTGGAATGTGTGGTGGGGAAGTGCAAAAACTGACACTAGAGGGGAGGCAATGGAAGGGTTGATGCAGGAGCTCGGTCTGGAAGTCCTTAACAGAGGGTCTGAGCCTACTTTTGACACCACAAGAGGTGGAAAGCGCTATACTAGCTGCGTAGACATTACAACCTGCTCTGTGGACCTGCTCGGCCAAATTGACAACTGGAGGGTTGCAGGTGACGTGACTAGTTCCGACCACAACACGATCCTCTTCGATCTGAAGCTCAGCAAAGCCAAAGGTATTGACATCCAAAGAACGACGAGAGTGTACAACACAAGGAAGGCAAATTGGAGTCAATTTCGTGAGAAACTGACCCAATCTTGGAAGAACGACAAAATAACCAAGAGTGAAGTAGAAAAAATTGTTAATAAAGAAGAACTTGAAGGAAGAATCACTAAACTGATAGAAAACATTAAAACAGCAAGTGAGGAGTCAATACCCAAACTGAGCAGAAAGAGGAAGGTGAAACTAGTGTGGTGGACTGAGGAGCTCACAAAACTGAAGAAGGAAGCTAACACGATGAAACGCAGAATAGCGTGCGCTGCGCCAGTTCGCCGAGCAGCAGTCGTAGAGCAATATCTCCGGACCAAAGAAACGTACCTCAAGGAAATGAAAAAGGCCCAAACCGATAGCTGGAAACAGTTCTGTGGAAGGCAAAATCGCGAGAGCATGTGGGACGGAATATATAGAGTAATAGGCCGTACTATTAACAGGGAAGAGGACGTTCCGCTGGTCTTAAATGGGAACGTTTTAAAAGCCGAAGAATCCGCAAGACTGCTGGCGGAAACTTTCTACCCCGAAGATGACATCAACTCGGACGACGCAGACCATAAGAAAATAAGGGCTATTGCACTCCGCGTGAATGAGCGGACGGATAGTGAAATATCCGATCCGCCCTTCACGGCGGAGGAACTGAAGTGGGCTGTGTCGAGTTTTAACCCGAAGAAGGCCCCGGGTGGTGACGGCTTGACAGCGGATATCTGCGGATCGGCTATAGAAACGGACCCAAGCGCCTTCCTTGCGCTAGCAAACAAGTGCTTGAGCCTCGGCCACTTCCCTGTTAAGTGGAAGGAGGCCGTGGTGGTAGCCTTACGAAAACCAGGCAAGGACAATTACACACAGGCTAGATCCTACAGACCTATAGGCCTTTTACCCGTCCTCGGTAAAATGTTGGAGAAAATGATGGTGCGCAGAATTAGGTGGTACATCCTGCCTAAAATGAGTCAACGCCAATACGGCTTCACACCGCAGCGCGGCACCGAGGACGCCCTCTATGCCATGATGAAATACATTCGAGGAGAACTTAGAGCCAAAAAGATAATAATCCTGGTGTCACTAGACATAGAGGGGGCCTTCGATGGCGCGTGGTGGCCGGCCATACTCTGTAGGTTGACAGAGATACAGTGTCCTCAAAACCTGAGACGACTGGTGGGAAGCTATCTGTCTAACAGGAGAGTGAGCGTCAGATATGCTGGAGCAGAACATACCAGAATCACCACCAAAGGCTGCGTGCAGGGTTCGATTGGGGGCCCGGTGTTCTGGAACCTGTTACTCGACCCTCTATTGGTGGCGCTGGAGGCGAGGGGGGATTACTGTCAGGCCTTCGCGGATGATGTCGTCCTTGTGTTTTCCGGTGATACGGCATTGGAAATCCAAACGCGGGCAAATGCTGCTCTCGAACATGTTCGGACTTGGGGAGTTATAAATAAGTTAAAGTTTGCACCACACAAGACCAAAGCCATGGTGATTACAAATAGGCTAAAGTATGACACCCCAATTCTAAACATGGACGGGATCGACATTCAAATGTCCCGCGAAATCACGATACTGGGTCTGACTGTCGACAACAAGCTTACCTTCAACCTGCACGTGGATAACGTATGCCGCAAAGCGCTTAATCTGTATAAGCAGCTATCGAGGACGGCAAAGATAGGTTGGGGGCTGAATCCAGACATCGTGCGGACTATATACACAGCCGTAGTCGAGCCAATTATATTATATGCGGCAAGCACATGGGCGCCGGCGGTAACAAAACTGGGAGTACAGAAGCGGCTTAATGAGGTGCAGCGCGGGTTTGCGCAGAAAATTGTGAAGGCGTATAGGACTGTATCCCTAAATTCGGCCCTATTGCTCGCCGGACTGCTTCCTCTAGACATAAGGGCCCAGGAAGCAGCCCTTCTATTTGAGGTGAGGAAGGGTTACTCTGATCAGGTGATAGGAGACCGGGAGGTTGAAGTTCCCGTACCTTACACAGGTGTGCCACACCCGGCGGAGAGAATGGGGCTGCATTTTATATGTCTGCAGAGCGGTGTAGAGTTGAACCAGCAAGAAAACGATGGCCTAAAAATATTTACAGATGGCAGTAAAATAGAAGGAAAGGTAGGCGCCGCACTATCTATATGGGACGGCATGTTACAAGCGATCAAGGTCGACAATTTGAAAGTAACTTATTTAGACAACTAATGTTATTAATGGGAATTAAAAAGTCAAGAACCACCCCGTATCATCCTCAGTGCAATGGAACAGTAGAACGTTGGCATAGATCGTTGAAAACTGCAATTACAGCTCGTTTAAGCAATAAGTCTTGGGTAGATGAACTGGCAACTGTAATGTTAGGATTACGCACGACAATTAGGTTAGATACAGGCGTAACCGCTGCACAAATGTTGTATGGTAATAATATTAGATTACCTGGTGATTTTTATGATGGAAGCAATGTGAAATCGTGTGATGATAATGATTACGTTAGCAAGTTAAAAGAAGTTATTGACGAATATAAACCGTCTAGTAGAGAAAATAGATCATCACGTAAAATTTTTGTGCATAAAGATTTGTATACGTGCGATTATGTTTTTGTTCGAAATGACGCAGTAAGGAAACCGTTACAACCTCCTTACGACGGACCATATCGCGTCATTAATAGAACTGATAAAGTTTTTTGTGTACAATTGCCAGACAGACAACTTAGAGTTTCTATAGACCGTCTTAAACCTGCATTTATGTTAGCAGAGGATAAAGTACAACCGGAAGTAGTAGATAATAGTGGTAAAACTGTCTGTCAAAAAGTTCAGAAAAAAGTAACTTTTCAAACAGCCGAACCCAGTAGCTTTGGTTATACTACGAGAACAGGACGAGTCAGCAAAAAGCCAATGAAGTATTTGTAACAATTAATTTTGCTGATTAGACAATAATTTAACTAGGACATTTGGTTATATAATTACGTGTTAATATGAAATAGAAAATGTATTATAAATTCATTTAGTGTTTGATACCTGTACGTCGTAGTTGATTAATTAGGAAATGGGCAACTTACAGACAAAGGACAAAGTTGTTGTTAACGAAAATATATCCAGCACAGCTCAAGTAGATAACAAGTTGAATATGATTGGTATCGTTATGATAATTATTATAGTACTACTG